CAGACTGCTCTTGTCAATGCATACAAGAAGATCAATCTTCAACCAATGATGATGATACTGAAGTTCCCAATGCCTTTAATGTGTTCATTGCTCAGGACAACATATGAAGGTTTTACATATCATACATTATTTTTTTTCTTTTCATTTTGTTTCATCTCATGAAACTCCAACTTCTGTTCCTTACCTTAATAGGAAATTGATGCTCTTTGAGGATGGAAGTGTTGCAAGTGAGGCAGAATGTGGTGATCCAGTTTTAACAATTAAACGGCTAAAATCATCTTAAAAATCTGAAAGAATCTTTAAGTGTTTTATATCAGGAACTAGAAGAAGAGAGAAGTGCCTCTGCAATAGCTGCTAACCAGACAATGACAATGATTACCAGGCGGCAGGAAGAAAAAGCAGCAATGCAAATGGAAGCATTGCAGTGCCAAAGAATGATGGAAGAGCAATCAGAGTATGATCCGGAAGCTTTGCAGATTTTGAATGATTTAATGATGAAAAGAGAGAAAGAGAAGCAAGAACTTGAAATGGAATTGGAAGAGCACAGGAAAAAGATACTGGACTATGAAGGAAAAGAGAAATTGAGGGTGTTGAGAAGAAAAGATGGAATTGTAAGAAGTAGAGACTCCTCTTCATCTTGCAGCAACATGGATGAGCTAACCATTGATCTTAATTAACTATGAAGCAAAGGATGAAGACAATGGCATCTTCAACCATGAGGAAAGCAGCCACAACAATTTAAGTGCTGATACAGTTTCAAATTTGGAGGAGATGGCAATAGACTGTGCAAAGTATATAAGTGTTGTTGATAATTCATTGGCAGAATTTGAGGAAGATAAGGTGTCCATTCTAGATGAGTTCAAAGCATTGAGGGAAAAACTTATCGCAGTGGTGATATAATGAGCAATTCCTTGATGAATTTAACTTGATTGAGCTTTCATCAAGACCAGGTGACAAAGACTTGATATGCAAAACTCATTTCCTACACTTGAAATGGATAGTATGAAGGTGTCCTTTGAAGAGGAGGTTGATCATGTTTATGAGAGGTTACAAGCTCTTAAAACAGATAGGGAGTTTCTAAAGCACTGTAAGGGATCCACACAGAATGGAGACAAAGGAATGGATCTTCTTCAAGAAATCTTGCAACATCTTTGTGCGAGCTCCTCAAAAATTTATCCCCTGCTCCTTTTATCTGTTTTGCATAACTACTAAATTTTAGCCTTTACCTATGCCAACAAATTCTAAAAAGTTTGAAAATTATCTAGTGCCAAGGCACTAGCTAACCCCAATGTGGCTTTGTCACTGAAGAGTGAAGTATAAAAAAGAGCTTTATCCTTCAATGAAGTGATAAGTTAGGCCTTCTAAATGGATCCAATATGACATCTAACACAAAGCACTTTGTTTTAGATTGTCTTAGAGATGAGTTCATCACATTTGGAGTTTCATTTAAGACTTATTATGGCAACCAATTCTCGTGATGTAGAGCTCATATTTTTTTATTTATTTTTTTGTGTGTACATATAGAGCCCATATTTAGTTGGGTTTATGTGTGATTAAAAGAATTTTGTTAATAGGTGAGCCAATGTTATTAAACTGATTATCAATTCGGTTGAGATACTAAGTTGACAAGTCATTGGCTCAATCTATGAATCACTTGTTGAACTTGCTGGTTGAATTACTTAATTGAATTATATAAGAATATATAATAAATGTAATAATAAAAGTATTATGATAAATATATACTTGTGGTATAGTGATTAATGTTAGAAAGATATAAAATTATTAATGTAATATCACCTAATATATTAAGGTTTTGGATTAAAATAGATCTTTACCATTAATGTTGCATTACGTAGGTTAGGTTGTGGGTGTTAACAGTATGAGCTTGGAAAATTTCACACGGCAAAATAATGTATCAATTATAATCTGTATATATTTGTTAGTTATGGTTATGATGACTGAAGTTACTGTTTAGACCTCATAATTACTTCTTCATGGATCATGATATTCATTAATTAATTATAATTTTTTCAAAAATATGTTTAGTGATATATTTTTATTTATTTTAAATAATTCATATTTCTATCGTCGATTTATACTCTCAATCAAAAACATATAATTGAAAATATTATATTCAACTGTCAAATTATTATTATTATTATTATTGTTATGAGGTGAAAAGTTTTGGGCGACCTTTGGAGGACAGTAGCCTCATTAAACTATGATGAATATGTAAGTATTTTATTTGAAAGTGGTAATTAGTGAAATGATTATAATGTTGATCATCTCAAAATAATTTTTTTTTTTGGTGAAGATCTCAAAATTATTTACTTCTTAAGAATAGTGTTGTAACAGAGTGCATGTCAAACAAATGGCATAACATATGCCGGAACAAAATTTTGACGTGCATAATTACACCAGATTGTTTTATTTACTCTAAAATCAACGGCAAATTGAGAAGACTAATTTTGTTAGGATGGAGAAAAAAAGATTATAGCGAATTATGAAGCGGAGAAAGTTATATTTATTATCATTTTAGACTTATTATTCTTATTATCTGATTAGTTACCGTTATATTAATTTGAAATCAACAATAGAAAAATAGAAGAAAAAAATAACTGTTGTTGATTTTGAATTAATCCTTTGATAAATAGAAGAAAAATGCATGTATCTCCAAGAAACTCTCAAAGAAAACTAAAGCGCTCAAAATGTAAAAACTGATTACAACTAAAAACTGAATTCTCTCTTCAACATGAAAATCTGACTTCCACTAAGTTCTGAGTTCCACTCCTTTTTACAAAACAAAGACTACTTTAAAAAAAAATATATATATCTTCAAATTGATGTTGTCCCTCATATCAAACAAGCATCCAACGACCTTCAAATTTCCATCTCATCTTCTTCTTTCATTCATCTTTCATTGCCATGTGTCCTTTTCTGTGTATAAAAAGAAAAATAATTTGCAAAAAGTTAAAATTTCTTTTCTTTTACCTCTTTTTATCAACTTGGGCTTACTTCTTTAAATTTGGCCCAAAGTTTACCTGCACTTTAATACAATTCAGCCCATAAAACATAAGATAATTACCACTAAATTAAATAGAAATTAAGACTACCACTCGTCAGATTAGGTTTTGGCCTAAATACGTTAAGTTTATATAAAATATTTTGAACTTGGTTTGACCTATTAATTTGGTGTACTCTACATTATAGGTTTGGTCTTGTCTATATTTAAAAATCAAAATATATGACCTAGGCATATTAACATGTTTAAGCCTACGAATCTTTAATAATTATCAAAGTTAATATATATATATATATATATAAAATAAATTTTTATTAGTTAAATTTATATAAATAATTATTTATTTTATTTGAATTAAATTAAATAATACGATATACTGACGTATAGGTCAATATTTGTAAAAGGAAATGTTTTCTAAACAAGTTTTTTTTGAGGTCCAAGCCTATTTTATTTTACTAAATATATTAGCTAGGTCAAACCTAACCTACTTAGACCGAATTATAAACACTTAATAGACCATTTGATCCATTTAAATCCCTACATGGAAGTTATGTGTGAGGAAGAACTTGCAATTTGTGTGTTAACAGTATTGAGCTTGGAAAATTTCACACGGCAAAATAATGTATCGATTATGTATAAATTATAATCTGTATATATTTGTTAGTTGTGGTTATGATGACTGAAGTTACTGTTTAGACCTTATAATTACTTCTTCATGAATCATGATATTTTTAATTAATTATCATTTTTTCAAAAATATGCTTAGCGATATATTTTTATTTATTTTAAATAATTCATATTTCTATCATCGATTCATACTCTCAATCCAAAACATATAATTGAAAATATTATATTCAACTGTAAAATTATTATTATTATTGAGGTAAAAAGTTTTGGGCGACCTTTGGAGGATAGTAGCCTCATTAAACTATGATGAATATGTAAGTATTTTATTTGAAAATGGTAATTAGCGAAATGAATATAATGTTGATCATCTCAAAATAATTTACTTCTTAAGAATAGTATTGTAACCGAGGGCATATCAAACAAATGGCATAGCGTGTGCCGGAACAAAATTTTGACGTGCATAATCACACCAGATGTTTTATGTACTCTAAAATCAACGGCAAATTGAGAGTACTAACTTGGTTAGGATGGAGAAAAAAAGGTTATAGCGAATTGAGAAGCGGAGAAAGTTATATTTATTATTATTTTAGACTTATCACTCTTATTATTTGATTGGTTATTGTTATATCAATTTGAAATCAATAATAAAAAAATAGAAAGAAAAAAAAAACTATTGCTGATTTCGACTTTGATAAATAATTAGATAGTAAGGGTGGTACGTCTAAAATATAATAAATATAACCGCCCCAACTGAGAGGCTTGATAGTCCATTGTTCTTTATAAAACAAAGGGGTGGTGAAGGGAGGGCCCCAATTGGTAGAAAAAAACCCGCAACTTTTTTTCTTCCAGAAACTCTTAGTATTTAAAAAATACATTGAATTTCAATTATTTCGAGTTGAGTCGAGTGAACTTACTCAAAGGAACAATATTCTCTTAATGTCTGTTTTTTCGTTTTCACAATTAAGACTTCACTTAAATATAATCGAGTCCCTTATTACTCGAACTTTTTACATATTGATTTATAAAACAAACAAATAATAACATTTGTAGATAGATCAAAAAACTCAATTTTTGAGTTTGTTCTTTCCGGTTCAAAGGTTGAAGTGACAAAAATAATAGAACCCCGTATACCGAAGTGAAAAAGAATTGAAGTGAAAAAGAACCAATTTTAATTATTATTATTTTAACCTTGAATAAAATTCATTAAACCAGTAATGAAAAAGAATTGAAGTGAGTAAACATAAACAGAAAAACCAAAATCACTTGCTGCTTGTGGAAGCTTGTGAAGCTTCCAAAAAATAATCCATTTTCTTTATCACTGGCTGCTACACTAGTCCGGTGAACATTCTTTACCTCAGTTACTCTACCATCAGCCTCATTCATACTCTCATATCACATGAATACCGAACTAATTTGTTTCCAGCTGCAATAGTAGACTGAAGAATATCATCCTCTTTCTGCTGCTTCACTTTAAGTGATTTTTAGAATAAATTTCAGCCCAAACTTTATTGAAATCTGAACGACACCGACTCCATTCCTCCTGTTTCTGCTTCAGTCGAGTCAATATTACAGGGAGCGCACGAGTTGGGTTTTTACGCAATATGTCTATAACGTCAAGACCATGGTCACCATATAGACGTTCAATGCACCTTAAATTTTGAACAGTAAAGTAATCTTCAATACGGTTCAGAGTCTCCATATTGATCTTATTTTCATTCATGTTATTATATAATTCCTCTGCACGTTTAGCTGCAGAACTCACAGACTCTAATAACATGTCCAGCTCAAATCTGTCATCTTCACATCTGAACAAGCTCTCTTCGTACTGATTCCTGCACATATGTTCGGAAGAGTAATCCTCACTTCCTGAACTCACAGATACCCAGTGATCATTCAATACTTGAGCACCAAGCTCAGATCTCTGACTAGCTGTAGGAATTGGATAATCAGCAGGTAGAAGCCGGTAGCTGGGAGTGCAACGTTTACAGTCACTGAGGTCAAGTTCTTGAATGGATTTTCCCATGTACTCCTTCTCCCTGTATCTTTCCTTCTCTTTAGCTCCATCCATCTCACGCTTCTGCTCTTTGTCTTTGTCTTTGTCCTCCAACTTTGATGATCTTAGTGACTTTTTACTCATGACACCAGCAAGGAACCCATCAATATTTTCCAAACACTCCAGGAAATCATTGAATTCCACCATAAGATCAAGATGCTTTCCAAGTAAATCGGTTACCAAATTTTGCAATTCATTCCTTTTTATTATTTCACTGACGAAAAAATTATGAAGGCACTTCAAGAAAGCTTGGTAGTCATCAGCACTGTTCAACTTCTCCTTAACTTTCTCAAAGAAACTGAATGCTTGACTATACATGTTCTTTAAGGTATCCTTGTCTTCCTTAGAAGAAAAGTCTGAAGCCAACCCAAAACCTTCAGCTTTCTTGACAGATTTCTTTTTCTCATGAAAGCGCTGCAAGTTCAAATCCCTGCTGTTATTATTTTATATTGACAAAAATCTCACATGAGTCTTTACAATATTATTATTTTTTATTCTATAAATAATGTTCGCCCATCTAAATGTGACAACGCCTAACTCACCAGGTGTTGTAAGCGAGTTAGGTAACGTGACATTATGAACAAAAATTTACAAAATGTGACATTCAGATAATTTTTTACAAAAAATGTGGCACTTTAATCGTTGTCCATCAAAGAATCCTATAACAATTTCCATCTTAAAAACAAATCAAGAATTACAAGCCGTCTGTACTAAATAGGGAATGAAAGAAAGGGGCAAAAAAGTAGAATACATTCTTATATATTAAATTAAAGTTTATTCTCTTAAATGTAATGCCTATAATAGAGTAAACGCATATGATTTACTCTGCATCAGTATCCTTTCTATATATACTGCAAAAGACAACTCTGTGTTTTGTGATATAGTTTCTGAACTGTTAAGAGTTTGTTTCGTGCCAGCTCAGTTTCTGTTAGAAGTTAGATTTGCTGAGCTGGGGGGACACTGTAATCAGTTTAATCTTAAGTCAATAACACAGTTCTCACTCAGAAACTTTCTCTGATCTCTTCTCTCTTTCTCCTCCTCCTCCTCTCTCTCTCCCTCTCTCTCTCTCATACTTACATTTACTCAACAAACATAAACACATACTAGAACAGACGAAACGTACAAAGAAAAAAAAAACAGAACAAACTTAAAAAATAAAAATAAAAAATAAAAAAGGAACCTACTCAGTCACAAAATTATATTCTGTTATGTAAATAAGTTTACATTCACTCCAATTCCTTCTTATACTCAAACTAACTAGGTTGATTGAGAAAACTGCATTACACTCAACTAACAGAAAACAACATTTTCGTCCTAAATAATCAGCAATAACTTTGGGGTAATAAGTTATGAGTCAGATTAGTTCTAGCAAACCCAACCCCATGAGCTAGGAAAATGAAAATGTAGAGAGAAAGAATCATCCAATAAAACCGTTAAAAAGGGGAGAAATGGATACCTCAAGAAATTGTTGAGCATTTATATGATCAGGTTCTCTCTCATCCTGATCACGATTAATCCTCATATCCTTACTCTCACGTTTCCTCCGCTTCTTGTGCATGTTCATCATTGTGTTGTCATCATCCATCTCAGGGTGTTCAACACTCAGATCACGCTCACGATCATGAGAAGGAAGCCTCTTTCGTCGATATACTTGCATTTGCCGCATCATGGGTGCCATAGAACTCCGCTCACTAAAGCGCTGCAATGAATTTCGAGCATCCGGAGCATGCTGTGTAGAAGGTGCTGCGAAACTATCTGGTAAGAATCTAGTGAACTCCTCAAGCAAATCTCGATGATCCTTAAACAGGGTAGCAACCTCACTATAAATTTCACCTATGTCCTTATGCTCTTTGCGGTACATATTGGAAATGTTCAAGAACGATTTGTAAACATGCTCATCACTTTGGAATCGTTTCTTTATCTAGAATTTTATATGGGAAAAAAATTTAATTATTGCATTTTAATTAATTAATTATGCAATTTGGATTGTGATTTTTTTTTTGGAGGTTTGGATTGTGATTTGATAGAAGAAAATAAATAAAATTTGTGATATGTGATTTAATTTTTTACAGTTTTGGATTGTGAACCAATCTGCGTGTGTGATTTAATATAAAAAATTAATCAAGATTTGATGTGTGATTATATTTAAATTTTATTTTTATTTTTATTATAAAAAAATTTGGTTTGTTATTTAAATTAAAAGTAACAATTATTATTAATAAGGAAAATAAAATAAAGATTTGATTTGTGATTTAAACTCAAAAATCAATTTGAAAAATCTGTATTAATAAATGAAATAATTCAATAAATATTCTGAATCTCTAAGGAATAAGGATTACCTAATTTAAATTTAAATTTAAATTATGTTTGTGAGAAATAAAATATATCAAATGAGATGTCATTGCGTAGATCTCGAAAAGTTATGTGGAATCAAAAAACAATTACCTGAATTGGATACCCGAGTCAAAAGTTATGGCCTTCAGAAGTTTTATGATTAAATTATTATTATTTTTTTATAAAAAATGACACGTGTCAACCTTAGGTGAGAGATGCCTAAATGAGGCGTCACATTGTAAAATAGATCCGTAATTATTTCCAAAACTGCCATAAATGCGTAATATTTAATTAAAATGCAATAATTAAATTTTTTATCCAATTTTATATATCTCAAAGATTTGAATTAGTATTATTATATCTCCTTGGAGTGATGGATCAATCAACAAATTAATGACTCTACTAATTTAATTTAATATATTATTTAAAAGTAATATATTTAAAATCAAATTAAATCTAATCATGCCAATTATTAAAAAAAATTTAAAATATATCTTGTTTTTAAAATAAAATAAAATAAAAACATAAATGAAATGATAATTAAAATTCATAAAATTTATACTTAATATATTTTAATTTTATTTATCCTGATATGATAAGCATAGGTTGTGTCAAAATTTCTATATAAATACATAAAATACAAAATTTAAAAGTACACAATACGATAAAGTTTTGTTTCAAAATTTAAAAGTACATAATACAAAATTTAAAAGCACAAATTCTTTTAGTTTTAAAATAATCATTGTTTAAAGATTTGTACAAAAATTAAATAATTCATTAAATTCTTTACGATTTAATGAAAATATAAGTTTATTTGATTATATTACACCTTCACTCTATTAAATCATTCTTATTCCAATAAGTAGAAATAAAAAAATAAAGTAGAGCTAAGGAAATAATATTTTTTTTTTTAAAGTGACAAATAATTTAGAATAAATTATAACTTTTTAAATACAATTAGATACATAAAATGTGCCTATCATAGTAGAAAGCAAGTTAAATTCAACACCATATTATTTAAGTGGAAAGTGTTTGTCATTTTAAATGACATAAAGTTATGTCATTTGTAACGCCCGGTCGCTTCAAGAATCAATGACTATCCCCACATACTAACACGAGACTTTTCAGTGTGCTTTTTCCTCACTCGCACACTTCCCGGGAAAACTTCCTAGGAGGTCACTCATCTCATAATTGCTCCTAGTCAAGCACACCTAACTGTGGAGTTCTTCCGATCCGGGCTACCGAAAAGCAGATGCATCTTGTTAGTATAGGTAGTACCAATTGATTCTTATAAGCTATTCTCAAACTGTGCAGTCTCATACCTGCACAGTCTTTGGAATTCTTCTCTTTCGGGTGTCGATTCGATTCATTCATGCATGTAACCCCACGCTGGAAGCCTGTCAGGAGTCACTCCTTGTCCGTGCCCCTTTGCACCGGCGATTACTCCCTGCCCTCGTCAGCGCTCTAGATGTTACATCATTTTAATAGAGAGATTCACACAAGAAATTATTTTTTATTTAAAATTTAAATTAAAAAAATCACTCACTTTCTCTTCCATGATTTTCATTTCTTATCTCTATATCTCTCCTAAAATAATATAACTTATGTCATTTAAAATGACAAACATCAAACTCATTATTTAAACATGGTCCTATCACTTAATTTGTTTTTAGCTTTTTTTTTTTTAAGAAAAAACCCAAGCAAGACCTGATTATCAAACTTGTGCAGGACAACAAATTAGACATGATTAGTTATCAAACTTCAAGACCTAATACGTCAAATGCTTTGACTGGATTAACCAAAAAAATTAAGTCCATGTTTTTTAATAAATTAATTACGCATTTATTACAGTTTTGGAAATAATTATATATTTATTGTACAATATAACGACCAATTTGGGCGTCACTCAAGACGCCTAAATTGGGCGTCACTCAAGAGGCAATCATACTTAATTTAGGCGTCATTTATCAGATATTGACACATGTCATATTTTTTTTCCAAAAAAAATAATAATTTAATCATAAAACTTCTGAAGGCCGTAACTTTTGACTCGGGTATCCAAATCAGGTAATTCTTTTTTTAATTCCTCATAACTTTTTGAGATCTACGCAATGAGATCTCATTTGACATATTTTATTTCTCACAAACACAATTTAAATTTGCAAGAATAATATTATAAGAAACATTAAACCCGGAAGCCTCTGAGTTCTGGATTTGTGATTTAATATAAATAAATAAATAAATAAAATTTTGATTTGTGATTTAATTTTTTTTTAATAACATTTTTTTATTATAACAAAAATTTGGTTTGTGATTTAAATTAAAAATTAAAATTAAAATTATTATTAATAAGGAAAACAAAATAAAGATTTGATTTGTGACTTAAACTAAAAAATCATTTTGAAAAATCTGTAGAAATAAAGGAAATAATTAAATAAATATTCTAAATCTCTAAGGAAGAAGAATATTATTTTTGAAATTAATGATTAATGCTATAAGCTTCTAAGTTATTATTTATGGTCTGAAATTAATTATGGCTTATGAATTTTTTTCAAAAATAAAATTACCTAAATTAGGCGTGATTGCCTCTTGATTGAAACCCAATTTAGACGTCATTGGTGACGTGTCAGGTGTTGACACGTGTCACATTTTTAAACTCAGAAGTCTCTGTGTTTTGGGTTTGTGATTTAATATAAAAAATAAATCAAGATTTGATGTGTGATTTAAATTAAAAAATAACAATTATTATTAATAAGGAAAACAAAATAAAGATTTGATTTGTGATTTAAACTCAAAAATCAATTTGAAAAATCTGTATTAATAAAGGAAATAATTAAATAAATATTCTAAATCTCTAAGGAAGAAGGATTACCTGATTTAAATTTAAATTATGTTTGTGAGAAATAAAATATGTCAAATAAGATGTTATTGCGTCGATCTCGAAAATTTATGTGGAATCAAAAAAAGAATTACCCGATTTGGATACCCGAGTAAAAAATTATGGCCTTCAGAAGTTTTATGATTAAATTATATTTTTTTTGAAAAAAAACTATGACACATGTCAACACCTGATGAGTGACGCCTAAATTAGGCGTGATTGCCTCTTTAGTGCGAGTTGGCTCCCTCCGGTATCCCCACGAGCTTCGACTCTTTGAGCCGGCTATGGGACTAATCCGGAGTGCGGGGGAACAGTGACCTTACACAAATTTTTGATATTCTTCTTGACTTTCTCCCTAATTTGTTCCCTAATTTCTATCTTAGGAATTTCCTTCATCCAATACCTGACTTTGTTTTTTCTTGAATTTCCTTTATTTGATTTCTCTTAATTCATATCAGGAATTTTTAAAAAATAAAATAATATATACTTGATAAATGGGTGTTCCCATTCCTTGATTCCAATTTAAATTCACAATAATAATAAAAGTGCTCTGTTTCACTTCTATGAGAATAAATGATTGTTTGGATGAGTTTTCAAAAAAAATATTTTTATATTTTATTTATTTTAGAAGTACTTTTTATAAAAGTTAAAGTTATTTAGATTTTTAAAAAATATTTAGTTTTTGAAAAAATATTTGTGTTTTAACTTATGTTATTTTTAGAAGCTAAAATTTTCATTTCAAAAAAAAGATTTTTAACTTTTTTTTATGACTTTTACTCTTTTTAAAAGTAGACGTCCAAACATATTTCTCCCATACATGTTTTTTTTTCCTGAAGTAAAACAACTTTTGAAGAGAGAAAAACCCATCCAAAGAAGCAACCTCTCGGGAGAAAGAGCCAAGCCTTGTTTGGTATTTTCGTTTCTATCCAAGGCAGAACCTTGAGGAGCTGGTTGTGAGCTCCAAGAGCAACCTTTGGTTCATCTTTAAGCCTGGTATGCATACTCAACCTTTGATCATGAGTTATTGGTTAAAAGTGGAACCTTGATGCATGTATTGAGCTAAAGATGATAACCTAACGTTCGGTAATGCTTAACACACTTAGAAATGCCTGTTTAAGCTTCTGTAATCGGTAAAAGTTGGACCTTTGGTTTGGATTTTCGCGAGATGCAGAATCTGGGTTCTGTCGCGAAACATCCGAATATTTTGTTGTGAATATCCGGATATTGATATCCAGATATAGGTATCCGGATATGCGGATCTGAATATCCGGATATGGATATCCGGATATTTTGGGATTTCGCAGAACAGTAGCTGCACTGTTCATACAGTAGGCTATTGGGGGTTTGTGAACCCTAGATTGATGAAGTTGAACTTCTGTTTTAATTGAACTAAGTCAGAATCAAGTGGTTAAAGGCTTATGACTTTGCGTGAAGCCTTAAGACATAAATCGTAAGAGGAAAACGTAGTCTTTATGTTTATGCTTATAAGCTATGAGTGTTGATATGCTTACTGGTCCTAATCAGGTTGTCATCTGCTGTGTGTTGGACTTGAGCTGTGTGGACTCTTGGCATTGGATAGTGAGCTTGCAAGGTAAGCTTTTGTGTCTTCGGTTTAGCCATGTTGTGGTTCCACCATATCCCATGGGGGTATGGTTATATGCTTGCTGTGTTACATGCTTTTGATGTTTTGGAAATTCTATTGAGATGTTATATGCTAGTGCCTTTATGATATGCATATGGTGTTCCACCTATACGGTAAGCCTGAGTATGTGGTACATACAATATGGTGAGGCTGTGGGTGAGGTGCAAGCGGTGTTCCTTGTACTATCTGTAGGTAATAGACGTATTCCTGCATTTCTCTTGCCAGTAGAGTAGTTTAAACACACATGGCATGAATATCTGTTGCACTGCATTGAGTTTTGGAACTTATATTGAATTACTGCCTTTGGAACTTATATTGCACATGTAAGTGATCTTGGGGTGGAAGATCCTTGAGGACCCCTTGTCTTACTGAGATTTCTGGTTTAGAGATCTCACCCCATGTTTGGGGAATGCTTATTTCAGGTTCAGGTAATGCGGGGGTTGAGACCTCTAGTGGCAGGAGGCCAGAGCTTAGCTGATAGATGTTACATGTTTATGCTGCTTATGTTGATATGCTGTTATGATTGGATGTTGAATCCTATTTACTGTCTTATGCTTTTAGCTTCAGTTTATGGATTTCTCTGTTGAGACTCTGTTGGTTATGCTGTTGATTTAGTGAGCATGAGGATTGTCCATGCCATATAGACTTGATTATGTCTTGTTTTATGTTGGAGTTGTATTAATGTATCAGGATTATTGTCCGGACTACGTGTTGTAGATCTGTGACATAGATACTCGCTTTATCTATATTATGAGGTATTTCAGTTAGATGTCTTTTTGCAATTTACATACAGGCGATATTTTATGAAATTGATTAAGTAATCAACTTGGCTAAGTATAACAACGTCATAATTGAAAAGAAAAAGATATTCCGTATTTTTAATTAAGTGCAGCTTAATACGATGATATGTTAACAAACCGGGTATACTCGGGGTGTTACACCGCACATCGTAGTAACTCTTCTGGCGATTCTGCGCCTGCTTCAACTTTTCCCTGATCAATTTGATCTGCAGGGTGGTATCTTGGACAAAGTCCAAGCCAAATAGCTCCTTGTCTCCAACCTCAGACCAGCAGGTAGGAGTCCGACACCTCTTACCATACAACGCCTCGTAGGGTGCCATGCCAAGGCTAGCATGGAAACTGTTGTTGTACGAAAATTCAACCAATGGCAGGTACATATCCCATGTTGAACCCTTCTCCAAAGTGCAAGCCCTCAACATGTCCTCGAATGTCTGGATGGTCCGCTCAGTCTGTCCGTCAGTCTGAGGGTGATAGGTGTTACTCAGTCTCAACTGCGTACCAAAAGCCTCCTGCAGCGCCTCCCAGAACCGAAAACTGTTAAAGAGAAAATTCAATGAAGATATATATATATATATATATATATATATATATATATATATGGAGTATGAAAATTTCTTGTAGATACCCATTAATAAATTCTTTGTTTTTTTTGTATTTTTAAAAAAATTTAAATATTAAAATATTGATTAAATGATTTATGTGGATCCAATGTCATTTAAATGATTTTAGACATTTATCGCTGATTGTTCCATCTTTCTTTTTAATTGTGAAGTTTGCTCTGTCCCTCTATATTCATGTTCTTCACAAGTTACGACTAGGGGTGTAAATGGGACATGTTAAGCCTACAGGCTTTGGCTTTAATAGCCTAAGCTTAGGGGTGTTCATCAACCGATCCAAACCGATTCAAACCGCGAAAACCGAACCGAAAAATCGATAACCGAATAAACCAAAAACCGAAAAATCGGAAACCGAAAGCAAACCGCAAATTATAATTGGATTGGATCAGTTTTCGGATGGGTTGATGAAAACCTATCAAATCCAAACCGATCCAATATATTAATTATCCTCTACCTACTTGTCATTTCTCTAATCATAGCCCAAAAATTTCTAAACTCAAGACCCATTAACTCATCAACTAAACCAAAAAAAAAACTTAGTCACGTCTCATCAACTATAGTATTCTTTAGTGATATTTTTGTATTTCAAATTTTTTTTTTACAAAGCCAATATGTACAAAAGATGTTATTTGTACAATAATCATGAAACTAATTTTAGGATATTCAAAAAACCGAAAATCGATCCAATCCAAACCGAAAAAAATTGGATTGGATCGGATCGGATTTGAAAAAAAATCTAAACCGAATGGATGATTATATGATCAAACCGAAGGAAGAGCCTATACTGACTTATTAGCATATTAAAGACTTGATTTATTGGTTTGGCCTGACCTATTATAAAAAACTAAAAAACTTAATGTGGCCTGTAAGGCCTACCAAGTTGCAAACCAAGGGGGTGTACTGGATTAGGATTTCAGAGGATTTTAATGGATTATTTTAGACAAAAAAATCCATTGGTATTCAATTAAAATTTTAAAGCATTGAAAAAAAGTCATGTGGTATTCAATTAGGATTTTAAAATATTAATTTACACTCCGTCCAAATTCGTTGGTATTCAATCAGGAT